GTCGTCCCTCCAACCCTCCTTTGGTCGTCGGTCGTCCCTCCAACCCTCCTTTGGTCGTCGGTCGTCCCTCCAACCCTCCTTTGGTCGTCCCTCCAACCCTCCTTTGGTCGTCGGTCGTCCCTCCAACCCTCCTTTGGTCGTCCCTCCAACCCTCCTTTGGTCGTCGGTCGTCCTCCAACCCTCCTTTGGTCGTCGGTCGTCCCTCCAACCCTCCTTTGGTCGTCGGTCGTCCCTCCAACCCTCCTTTGGTCGTCCCTCCAACCCTCCTTTGGTCGTCCTCCAACCTCCTTTGGTCGTCGCTCCAACCCTCCTTTGGTCGTCGGTCGTCCTCCAACCCTCCTTTGGTCGTCGGTCGTCCCTCCAACCCTCCTTTGGTCGTCCCTCCAACCCTCCTTTGGTCGTCCCTCCAACCCTCCTTTGGTCGTCCCTCCAACCCTCCTTTGGTCGTCGGTCGTCCCTCCAACCCTCCTTTGGTCGTCGGTCGTCCCTCCAACCCTCCTCTGGTCGTCGGTCGTCCCTCCAACCCTCCTTTGGTCGTCGTCGTCCCTCCAACCCTCCTTTGGTCGTCGGTCGTCCCTCCAACCCTCCTTTGGTCGTCGGTCGTCCCTCCAACCCTCCTCTGGTCGTCCGGTCGTCCCTCCAACCCTCCTTTGGTCGTCGGTCGTCCCTCCAACCCTCCTTTTGGTCGTCGGTCGTCCCTCCAACCCTCCTTTGGTCGTCGGTCGTCCCTCCAACCCTCCTTTGGTCGTCGGTCGTCCCTCCAACCCTCCTTTGGTCGTCGGTCGTCCCTCCAACTCCTTTGGTCGTCCCTCCAACCCTCCTTTGGTCGTCGGTCGTCCCCTCCAACCCTCCTTTGGTCGTCGGTCGTCCCTCCAACCCTCCTTTGGTCGTCCCTCCAACCCTCCTTTGGTCGTCGGTCGTCCCCCAACCCTCCTTTGGTCGTCCCTCCAACCTCCTTTGGTCGTCCCTCCAACCCTCCTTTGGTCGTCGGTCGCGTCCCTCCAACCCTCCTTTGGTCGTCGGTCGTCCCTCCAACCCCTTCGTTTGGTCGTCCTCCAACCCTCCTTTGGTCGTCCCTCCAACCCTCCTCTGGTCGTCGGTCGTCCCTCCAACCCTCCTCTGGTCGTCGGTCGTCGTCCCTCCAACCCTCCTTTGGTCGTCGGTCGTCCCTCCAACCCTCCTTTGGTCGTCGGTCGTTCCCTCCAACCCTCCTTTGGTCGTCGGTCGTCCCTCCAACCCTCCTCTTTTGGTCGTCGGTCGTCCCTCCAACCCTCCTTTGGTCGTCGGTCGTCGCCTTCCAACCCTCTCCTTTGGTCGGTCGGTCGTCCCTCCAACCCTCCTTTGGTCGTTCGGTCGTGCTCAACCCTCCTTTGGTCGTCGGTCGTCCTCCAACCCTCCTTTGGTCGTCGGCATCCTTCGCCCTCGAAGAAGAGAACGGGCGAATCTCCTCCAAATAGGTCCGTCGTTTTCGGATATTTCCAAAAAAAAAGTATACCATTCCCACCGTCAACGAACAAAAAAACAGAAAGCAAACACGAATTTTCTTAGTCTGGACCACATTTTCTTTCGCCAACTTTTCCTCGGGCAAGCTTTTCCACAGCCAGCGCTTCTGCCAACTTTTCTTCCGTCAATTTTCTTTCAGTCAACTTTTCTTTTGTCAACTTTTCCTCGGCCAGCTTTTTTATTTTAACTTTTCCTTCTATCAACCTTTCCT